TTTTTTTTATATTTCACTGCCCCAAAGAAGTTTTGACTTAAATATAGTTTCATAAAGGGCACATAGATTTTACTTCAAATAATGAAGTCATTTTATTCATGTGATAATGAAGTTTTAAAATGACAACTTGAAGAGTATGTGTGGGCACATGTACATGCGTCCATTTGTCTGCCTGAGAGAAAAAAACATGCTGTGTTCCACAGGCTCATAGTTTCCTTAGAGTTGATAAGATTTTTTGAGGAATGGCCATCTTTAGTAGCTTAGTATTATTCTGTCTTCAAGATCTTCAGGGAGAGGGTTTCTAAAATGTCCCCATTTCTACAGTGCTCGTTGCAAAGAACATTTGTATTATATCTAATCTAAATCTCCTCCAGCTGCAATTTAATTCATTTCCTTTTATTATATCTTCAGCAGAGATCAAAACAAATGAAACAGAGTAGTCCTCAGTACATCCTGGAATGTTCTGTGTCATAATCCTTCATATACTTGGAGCCAGTGAATAAGCTCTTTTTTTTTTTTCCCCTCTGAGATAAATCCTTTCCAGTTTCACCCTATGGGGCCTACTTTTAAAAATCCACAATTATTATGTTGCTTATGAAATCTCTCTATGAGTCCCTCTAGTAGTTCAGGACTCTGGAACTGATGCACAAGAGCTGCTGCAAGGCAATAATTCAAATATGTGTGTGTGTATGTATATTCCCAGTATCTGGTATACCAGATGCCCCAGCTTCCTTTACTATAACTTCCCCAGTTCCTACAGATATGGACTCACGCCCTAGACTCTACTCTGAAGAACTATTCATAGTTGAAATAAGTTGTCTCTCCTTCCTACCAGTTTTCAGCCTCTTTTTTTCTGGCACAACAGACTCCACAATGCAATTCACCTTCCAGAACTTTCCATTCCTATGGGATCAGGCTGAGGCTAGGTTCTCCAACATCACATCTGTCTAGCTTCTTCCTCTATTCCTCCTGCTTCCCTCCCTCACTTAAGAGTTTTTTCCTGAAAGCTTTCCTTCAATAAAACATGTGCACAAGAATCCCTGTCTCAGGTTCTGCTTCTTGAAAACTTGATGTAACAAAACTGGCATTAAGAAGAGTTCACAGGGCCAAAACATCAGTCAAGTCAAGGACAAATATCAAGTCTTTTTTTTTTTTTTTAAGTAATCTAGCGAGTTTATTTTGGACTTTCACATAGATATAATTTGTGGAGGCACATACATATTATACACACACACATATAATTATATAAATATATAATTAAGTCATTACATGGGTAGACTTTGGTATTAATAGTTATGTCATTTTTCAGGAGCCATGATTATTAAATCATGGCATAAGGTAGCTCTTAATTCTCTATAAACAGTGTTTTGGATAAAATGTCAAAGGACATTTTCCTACAACATAGCTCTACCATGGCTGAGTAGCACCCCACTAGAATAGTCTGTGTTTTATGTAATGCTTTTATTGTGAATCTATTCCCTACCCCTCTATCCTTACTCACACACCACAAAAATTACCCTGATAGGTTAATAACTTCAGCTTCAAGTACCTCTCTTCCTACAGGGCTAGTCCAGAATTTGAACATCCTAAACTTTCTTGGGAAGAGATGTATATGCTCTTAAAATTAGTAGCTAGAAATCGTGCTAATAATGTACCAATTACTTAGGTCCTCTGAACATTTTGTTTACTAAAGAGCTCAAATTTCCTTAGACCATATGTAGTAAGTATCCATCAAAAAAAACTATACAAAAATGTTTTAGAAAGGTCCCAAGGTTTAATGGAACTATTCATGTAATAAAACATAAACATCATAAACTGAACTGTTTTTTGATTACACACTCCGAAAAAGACATACAGAGAGTTGTTCTTGAATTTTATTCTCAAGAGAATATGCTTTTGAAGCATTCAGTGGTGTTTGACGTATCAGTGCCTCTCAGCCTTTTCCACTTTGATCTTTGTATTGATAGCTGGGTTTCTGGGTGTGAGTCAGAAACGCACTTCCCAGGGAAACAATATCTGTCAATGAGATGCAGCTATCTGCATCTCATTTGATCACAGGTAAAAATGCCCCCCATCCCCCGGAGGTGCTGGGGGCTGTCCCCAAGGGGCACCCAGGCAAGCTTCTGTAGATGGGTTATTCTGTCCAGATGCTCCTCATGCATCTGCCAGCTCTGGCTGACAGAGAGGACACAGGTGCCGTATCCGAGGGAGTCTACGAGGAGCGCTCTCTGCACATTCAGATCACAAGGGATGATCCGAGGCAGATCCTCCCCACCGACTGTTTCATGCTCTAAACATTTTTCTGAAAGTGTTTTGACTTTCACTAAAAAGAAGTCCATCGAGACACAAGTTGCCTCGAAAGGATCTTCTCTGACTCTGCCTCTCCATCATCTGTCCCAGGACGCGTGTCCTTGCATGTCAACTCCAGTCAAGTCTGGAGAAGGTCTTTGGCATTTTCCTACATCTGTGCTACTGGACTGCCTTGTAGAAAAGACTATGCTCTCTAATGAGCTGTCTTTTGTTTGAAACTCAGCAGAGGTGGCCAACCTGGAAATAGCCAGGCTGTGGGGCTAAACTCTCCAACCCAGATGTGCGCACAGCTGTGCCCTCTTCCCACAGACATTCTGATTCCTGACAGTGAAATGTACCTATATGTTCTCAACCTTGAAAGTATTCTTTTGTTATGTAATCATCACAGATATTTGCTATCTAAGGGGGCAATGTCAAGGCCACGTTTTAACATTTTTGTTCTACTCCAAGAAAGTGGGCGAGGCACATCACATAGCCTGGTACTGTCAGGGGACCTGAACATCTGCGCTCAGAATCTCGTTTTCACCATTAAAAATAAGGGCAGTTGGGCTCTCCTCGGTGGTGCAAAGAGTTAGGATGCAGCACTGAAAGCTGGCCACAGCCACTTCAGTGCGAGTTTGATCCCTGGCCCCGAGGAGATCCACATGGTGTGGCAGACCTCTACTGACCCGCCCACTGCTCCCTTAAGCAGTGCACTTTGCCAATCTGCCTGTTCTGCTCCCCACTCTGTGTCTGATGAAGCCTCTCACTACACAGCACCTCTGGCTTATACCCCAGTTCTGTACGGATACATAAATAAATCAAAAACAGACAAACAAACATGACAGTGAGTAAATGCCATGTTCACCAAAGAAAAACTAAACTCTTGTCAAATACATTTTCTGCGAATCCCACTAGATTCTTCCAGAAGCTACGGCAAGTTCAAGAAGTAGAAATGGAGCGGAGAGTTTCCTATTGGCTCCCGTGCAGATGGGCGGTGGCTGAAGCTGTGGAGGAGCAAGTAGGCCAGGCTGAGTGAGAGTGTAGGGGTGGGCACAGGTGATCAGCAACATGGACAGGAGTGGCCACCTGCCATTTCCTGCACGCTGCCCCTGTACCACTGGACCCCTAGAGACCCAGGAGGCACATGTGGGTCACCATGCTTCCCTGACTCAACAGAGCACAAGAAACTGGCCAATGGGTACAGGAAGTGCTGGCCCCAGCTCTCAGGTCTCCTGCCACACCCAGCTCCACCTCCCACTCCCCTGCAGTGTTTGTATCATGTCTCGGGAACAAGTTTAACTGAAGTGCTGAGGTTCACAGGCAGGAACTGGTTGCGCTTGTCACTGTTTTTTAAGGTTTCGATCTTCAAGACACAACTCATTGGTAAAGTCACCACTCATTCAAAGGTTCCTTAGTGATTTTATGGTTTTCATTAGCTTCTAAATCTGCCTATGTCCACGTGGAACCATCTGTTTAAAATTGATATCCAAGAATCGTCCAGATTTGTGAGCAACAGCAAAGGAGGCAATAATTGTTTTTTCACTATGGTATGTGCTAATACAGTGTCCTGAACAGTTAACGAGGCTTCCTTCCATGCCTGAGTCGAAAAATGACATAACAAACTAGAGTATCTACTTAGAGATGAAAGTGACCAAAATTTTAAGGTGCAGCTAATGTTAAGCCTTTAGACAATTTAAAGCTTAAAGCTTTTTTTGTGCAGTCACTTTATAGAACTGCATGCTTATGTTTGTGGTGTATTTCCCTTGAGGCTTACTTAACAATTAGGAACCTCTGTTTACCTCCTAGCTACCTTGTTACCAGATATGCACTTTTTGCAATGATCAGATTTACTTTGCTCATTCAAGAGGCCCACGGCCAAAAATGGCTGCCTTTCCTTTAGTCACGTTTCCATAGAATATGGAAATCACATCTCCCAATGTGGAATCCTTATATGCAGTAAACAGAATGCAGTGTGTACTTTGATAACCTGGGCATCTAATGACCATCCAAGTACCACTTTACATGTGCCATTCCTATACCTGCTGGCCCCCGACCTGAGCTGCTGCAGCAGAAGCACAGGGAATTTCTGTTATAAACAACAGGAATTTATTTTTACCAGTCAAAGAGTTTGAGAAATCCAAGGTCAAGGTGCTGGTAGATTTGTCTGGTGAGAACCCACTTCCTTCCTGGCCCTTACACCATCTTCTTGCTGTGTCCTCACATGGCAGAAGGGGTGTGGGAGCCCCCGGGACATCTTTTAAAAGGTCATTTGTCCCATTCAACGATGGTTCCACCCTCATGACCTAATCACCTCCCAAAGTTCCCACCTCCAAAGAACACTGCACTGGGCATTAGGATTTAATATACAAGCTGAGCAGTGGACATAACATTGAGTCCATCACAGCCCCCAAACATTTTCAAATGGAAGGAGTTCAACAGCTCACAAATGTAAACCGAGTAGCTGCACTCTTACCCTGGCCAGGGCTTCCTCAATGGTGATCATCTTTTCTTTGACCATCATCATCAGTTGAATCCGTTCCTCATCGCTCATGGTTATCTCACTTGCAACATAGCCCACATCTTCTCCTAGAGATGGAAGACAAAGAACAACGAGAATGAAAACCAGAAAGACAAGACAGATGCCAATCTTGAGATTTGCCACCTGGAACCATGGAATGGCGGGTTCTCGGGCATAGCCGAGCCCTGCACATTCTGGAAGAGGCAGTAAGTACAGCAATAGACCATTCTTTAGGAAGCCACCACGCCCATAGAAGGGACAGACCTTGGCTCCAAGAACACATGGCTGTTTCTACAGGAAAAGTCCTTCAAATGACTATTGCCTTCATGGTGAAAGGTAGGGGGGCCTGTGGAGGGGTTTTGTTTTTTGCATGAAAGAATTAGGGTGTAGGCCACAGGTTTAGGGGCTCAGGGGATTCACCAGGGACAGAGTGGGGAGCAGAACAGGTGGATCTACTGAGATACACTGCTGAGGGGAGCAGCGGGCGAGACAGAAGTCTGATGCGCCATGTGGGTCAGTTCCCTGGCTGGGGATAGAACTCAGGCTGTAGCTATGATATTGCTGAGACTTAACCCATAGGCCAAGGAACCCAGTGGGAAGGTTTTGGAGGAAGTCTGAGAAAAGTAGAGAAAGTGCTGAACCTAGCCAGTATGAACAAGCACTATAAAGACTGCTGCAGCTAAGCGTCCTCTTTGTCCTTCCATTTGAATTATGAATGAGAAGAAAATCTCTTGCAGGAGTGCAAGAGAAAGGTCTGACAAGGCAGAGAGGTAAGGTCGGTTGCATAACTAAACCTATAGCTGGGGAAAACCCTCACCTCCCGTCCAGCTAGTTGTTCCTCAAGGTAAGCACACGTAAATAAAATCTCAGATGTGATGCATTCGGAGCTCACAGGAAGGAAGGTACAACACATGTACACAGCTCAATCTTACTACCAGCTATACACGAGGGCACCCAACTTTCAACCCAAGCTGACAGCAGCCAGAACTGCAGAGAAAGGGGGTCTCCTGCCAGGTTCCTGCGAAGTGTCTTACTGCCCAGCAAAGAGATTGCTACCGGTATGAGGTGCGCTGCTGGTGTGCCTTCCTGGACGAGTGTGCTGCAATGGCAGGCTGCTGCCTCATCCTTCTCTCTGCCCTGTCTTCCTCTCAGCTCCCTACAGGATGCAGTGCCATCAGGCCATTGGGTGGCAGTTTAATTTATCCTGAGGAGAGAGGTGAGCTCGGACTAAGCGTGTGCTGCAGATTGGGGCCTGTGGGAGTCGGTGCTGCCTCCACACGTATGTCTCCCTCTCTCATTTCCATCCTGTAATCAATCAGCCCAGAAACACCACTCGAGTTCCCCTCACCAGCTCAACTCCCTGTTCAGGAAGAATAATCAAGTGTGCAGAGCGAGGAGAAACGTCTGGTGTGATTCATTTGATTCTGTGCCTCACGGATGGTGGTTGGGGTGGGGAGCTGGTAGGGCTTGAAATAATACCCACATCAGCTGGAGACCTCCTCCAGTCCTCCCTCTTGTCTTTCTCCTGTTCTTTCTTTCTAAATAAGACTTTGTTAGAATCCAAGGTTTACTCCCAATCACAGATGATCCGGGCGTGTACCAAGAGGAAAAACTGGAAATGTTTAGGCATAACGTCCTTAATAACAGGACCACTTGGAAAAAATAACCATCCTGAATGTTGCCAAGTTCCCAGGTGTGCTGGGAGGTCCCAGCCCGCTTTCCTCGCATCCTTGTGGAGGGAGAAGGGACAAGCAAACTGAGCAGGGTCGGACCCTGGGATTTTGTAAAACAAAACAAGTCGTGTCACTGGGGAAAAACGAAAACCTTCCATGTGACCATAACCTCATTCGGTCCCACTGGAATCTGGAAGTGGCTTTGTTTCCATTCCCTCTCTGAATGCTGGGGAAGCATAAATTATATAACTGGGCCTCCCAGGGAGGGCATATTTACTTACTATATAAACAACAACAAAAGACAGAGCCAGAAGTAGGCAGGACCCCTCACAAAGCAGCCTCGGCAAATTCCCATGATGTCAGGCCACTAGACAGTTTCCAAGGCAACTGCCCCAGCACTGTCCCCAATCAGAACGCATCAGAGGTTCAGAGGACTGAAAGGTCCCAAGAGCCTTGGGGGGGGAACCCCAAAAGATCTTTCTGGGGAAGAAACTACAGATTTGGTCTCTGCTGACAGAGCTACCAAAAGATAGAATTTCCAAGGCTTCCCATCTTGTTTTCTTTGATTTAACACACACACACACACACACAGTCTTAAAGGAACCACAGGGATAGGAGAAAAGTTGAATGTTTCACGGCCAGGGAGAGAGGATGGGCTCGTGAATGAGATTAGTGGCACTGGTTTCCCTGACGTGCACGCACTCAGAGGCTGACAGTCCGTGCCCGGCGCCCGGGTTACAGTACCTTTTGAAGTCTGTCTCATTATGCCTTTCTGGTTCTTTCGGAAGTTCTGCCAGAAATACTTATTTTTCTTCTTCCAATCTCCTTTTCCTTTAAAAAAAGAAAAGGCACAAGCAGTAAATTCATTAGTCACAAAAGGAGTCTCCTCTTCCTTATAATTTCAAAGCTGGTAAGAATACTTTGATTCCCCAAAAAGACAGTTTTTCTTTTTCAGCTGGTGAAAGACTAGGAAATGCCTATATACTTGTTTAAAAGAAATGCAAATATCCTAGGAGCAAGAACTGGTGCTTGGGTGAAGATAGGAAATACAGCAACATCAAAAAGGCAGGCAAAGCAGGCCTGCCAGTGTTAACTTTGATGTTTGTTGAACTAGTGCGTCTAATTTGGCCTTGTCTTGTGGTATATTTTCCCTTTTGGTCTCCGCCACAATTATTTCAAACTTAACAAGCGCGTTCTGTTTCATGGTTATTCTTGTTGATCTACCCTCAACTTGCCTGTTATCCCAGATGGAGTCAAGGGAGCAGAATGGGTGCAGCGTCTGGCTGTCGGGGGCGGGGGAGTTGTCCTTGGAGGGTGGGGAGCCCTCGGTTCTAGCTACGGCCTGGCAGGGACATGAGTCCCACCTCCCTGGCCCTTGGGCTCCTTGGTGACATACAACAGCTAGCCCAGGGCACAGTGATGGGGAGAGCAGGCCCACCCCGGCCAGCTCTCAAGCCCCATCCTTCACAGACTCCTCTGGGTGACTTTCAAAGGCAACCAAACTGCATTGCTAGGACTTATCCTGTTTGGTCAGGTCTTGAGCATCAACAACACGCGCCACGCCTTTTAGAAAGCAAAGGGAAAGGGGTGAGGAAGCAAACTGAAACGATGGCCAAGCCTTGAACCCTGGACCGGGGCGGGGACATCTGCTCATGGACACGTGGAGCCCAGAGCCGAAGTCTCATCACGCTTTGGCATCTGCTGGCTCCACAGCCACTGGAAAAGAGGCGCAGTGGAGGAGGGTTGCTGGTTTCCACTGTCTAGATGGGTGGGGCCGGGCAAAAAAAAAAATGCTGCCCAAAACAGACATGTGGGAGCCCTGTCTGGAGGGCACCCAGGCTAGCAAGGGCATCATTTGTCAAAACGAGATGCCCTCGTTTGAGGTCTGACAGTGCCTGGGACCCTGGTGATGAGCCAGCGTGAGCCAGTGCCAGCCAGCCGCACCACTCTCCGCACTCAGGACCCTGAGGCAGGGTTGACCATGTGCCGTCTTGGGGTCAAAGACTTTGCCAATACCAGCCAGGAAAGGTGAAGGCAGAGGAGGGTCATTAGTCACTCCACCTTTCTTGTGGGCAATCCATGGACAGGACGTACTTCTTTAGTAGTAAGCTGCCATTTTAACACTTCTGGAGGTGCAGCTTAATAAATGAAGAATAATAGCGAATGCTTATTCAGCAGGTACGATATCCAGGCACTCGCTCATTTAATAGTTGTAATGAACACAGACGCATAACTGCCCCCATTTAGTGGATGGGTAAGTGGAGACTCAGAGCAGCAAGTGATTGCCCAAGGTCCTAACAGTTTTGTAGTCCTGACCCAGCACTCACGCACCCTTACCTGGCTAGGCTCCCTCTGATCCAGGCCAAAAAAGTATTACGATTTCAAGGGTGGCTTTTATAATCAAGGAGATATAAAATCTAAAATGCCTTATTATATATAAGATTTAATTTAAAAAAAGCTGAAGGATTCCCTTTGAGGACATGAGTGGGTGGAGACTCGAGGATTTTATTGGTAGCATCATCTCGTGAATTCTTTGTGATGGAGAAGAAATTGGAACCAAATGTCCAGCAAAAAGGAGAATGCTTGATTGAATTATAGCACATGCACATGAGGGGGTCTCACACAGACGTAAACATTTTGCTATAAAGAATACTCAGTCGTGTGGGAAAAAGTTCGCATCACATTCAGTTGAAAACATTGTAAGAGTCTGGACAGTATGATCTCAATTATAGCTTTTGTTTTTCTTTTTTTTTAAGAAACCCACACAAATACAAACAGAAAAAAGAAGAAAGTTATACATCAAAATCTTAAGAGTGTTTATTTCTGGGTGGCTGGATTTTTGTGGCTTTGTGTTTTTACATCTGTATGTGTTCTAGAAAGTCCTACAAGGAAATAACTAATTCTAAATCATTAGCCAAGAAACGGTGGTACTGACCCACTGAGCTGTCTTCTGAGTTCGACTTATGAAGAGGATTCCTAGAAAAGAAAAAGAAGTCTGATTACCAGGAGCCTCGCCTTCCTCTGAGAACCCAACATCCGCCTAACGAGCCTGACCCCGCATCCTCACACCGCGCTCAGCCGAGACATCTTCATCAGATATTCACCACTGGCCTTTTTCGAGCCATCTGCTGCCTTTCAGGAAACCCACTTGTGGGCCATTTGTCAACATTTATTAAAGGCTCACTCCAGGGTAGGACCTACATCAAAGAAGGGGGGTGATCTTCACCACAGGATCGCGGGGGCACCTTCCTGGTCCACGATTTAAGTAACGCTCCCAGCGAAGTCTCTAGTGTGAATCGCAACGAGAAGGAAGGTAATCATGGGACAGAGACCCAGCACCTCAAAGCCACCCAGACCAGCCAGCAGAGTGTGTTCAACTGTGGGGGAAGGAGGAGAACCCCAATGTCAGATTGAGGGGACTGCAGGAGGGGCCCTGCCGCTGGTTCCTGCCTGTTGGGAAGTTCACCATCATCCTGCTAGATCTGATGGTTAAAGACAAACTAGAAATCTGCAGGTTATATGCAAGCCCCAGATTTTTCAGGGATGGCAAAGAAATCCTTGTTTTCAAACATGAGCCCCAGTGAATCAATACCAGGCCGGACAGGGGTCTGGCTGCACCTTCCCTCCCCTGGCGGCCGGGGCAGTGGCTGCTGACACAGACGAGCCCTCGGGACCTGAGCTCAGCCCCTGCCAGTCCACGACGCAGTTTCTCCGGAAAACACAGGCAGACACCAACTTAGAGGAAGAGGGCAGAGGAACCAAAGAAAGTGAAAATTGTTTCTCTAAAAGAAAAGGGGAGTGGGGCATAGTCTTTCACTAGGCAGCCAGGAGCCCCTGGGACAAATCCTAGTCCAGGCAGGACTGCTGCGAGGAGAAGCACCTGTCACGACAGAGGCACGAAGTTCAGGGGCTTGACACCCCAACCTTCCCCACAAGTTCATGCAGACAAGGGTGGCGCAGGTGCCTGGAAAAAGACCCACTGGTGGGAGAATATGTGGCAGCCAGAGGTTGGAGGCCACAACTGAGTTACAGGAAAAACTTGGGGCAGGAGAAGCCAAGAGCCACATTACCTACCGGGTTCCTCTGCTTACATGGCAGGTTAAAAGGAGCTATAGAATTCGAGGTGACAAGAGTGGGGTCAAGGCTCCCTCTCACATGGCATTTTGAGGAAGTTGTTGCTCTTCCACACAGTTGCTTGGGTGCCAGCTGCTGTAGGCAACTTTGAGAACCACAGGCCCAGGCCCTGCACACACCCCCACACCCGAGTCTGGGAGAAGCAGCAACCAGGACTAGCGGGAAGATCTATTGTGAGGACCTAGAGCAGGAGCTAAGAGCACAAAGGGGACCTCTAAGGCTGCTGGGGACAAATGCCTGATTTGAAGTCAGGTCTCTCCCCTCACCACGGCCCTGTGGGCACAGAAAATGTCAGGCAAATCTACCTTGCCCTCAAATCTGCCCAGCTTCAGCTTCCAAAATGTGCTGGCCTCTGCCCTATCCACATACAGCGTGCAGCACCCCGAAACATTTACTTGTAAGGTAGAAGGGGAGAAAGAAGCTTAAGTTAGTGGCGGTGGTGGGCGGGGGTGGGGGGAGAAGGAGGAAGCGGAGAAAGAAGCGGAAGTGGGGGAGGAGGAAATGGAAGGGGAGAAAGAAGCGGAAGTGGAGGAGGAAGGAGAAGAGGGAGAAAGAAATGGAAAGGGAAGGAGGAAACGGAAGTGGAGAAAGAAGCGGAAGTGGGGGAAGAGGAAATGGAAGGGGAGAAAGAAGCGGAAGTGGGGGAGGAGGAAATGGAAGGGGAGAAAGAAGCGGAAGTGGGGGAGGAGGAAATGGAAGGGGAGAAAGAAGTGGAAGTGGAGGAGGAAGGAGAAGAGGGAGAAAGAAAAGG